GGTATTGATCGCCCATCCACACATCTCTGCAATGACTTACAGCCAGTTGAGATCAAAAAGGCCAAAGTTACCCTGAGGGTCTCCAAGCATTGACAGAGACAGAAGCTTAAGGGAGGAATGGGGACAGTGTTAACTGGATGCTGAACTAGACTGGTATGACCTCTGGGAGGAAAGCCACACACTGAAGGGTTTACACAAAGAAAACACAACAAGATTAATAGGGGGAGGAAACATATTTTGAGAGCTACATCTATAGCTGGGTAAAGAAAAGAAAGGACAATTTTCAGAGACCAAATACTTCCTCAAGTCCCTCAGGATCTCGTGAGTATGCCCAAAAGCTTATCTGTCCCTTTTCTAACTCTATCAATTCCAATCTCATAAAAAATACTACCTCTCCCTGTAAACTTTGTCTCACTTACATCCTTAGGCCACCAGTCCTATAACAGCAGTACTGCCAGCAGTCTTCACGCCACACATTCTGAAGAGTTTCATCATTATTTTTGTCCCTCTCCCGATACCTAGGGTTCTGTGTGAAAATACAGTCCTTACATGGGTCTGCACCAGTGCACTGGGAATATCATCAGTCCCCACTAGTGGCCAGGCTCATCCAACACAGGACTGCAGCCACCCAGCAGAACCACTGAGCTATTGCTCCTGAGATAGCTTGCACATAACCTTTGGGTAACTGGGAACAACTACTTTAACTTAGCAATAATTAGCTCCCTATGGCAGCTGTAGGTCTGTCCACAAGGATGTTGCTTTCTGCAGAAACTGCTGTCCCAGAGCAAAGCTGATTTCCAGTGAATGCACTGCAGTATTCATACCCCCTTAACGAGTTCTCAGATCACCACAAATAAGCAACACTGTACTGAGACTTTTTTGGTAGAGACTGTCCTCACTCCCTGCAATAAGTGATGATGTTTGCTCATGCCTTCTTGCATTTTCAGTGGAACGTTTTCATCTGTTGGCAAGGAAACGTACACTGTCTTTAAAGAACTAAGTAGCACTGATGTTATTTGTTTACTTATAGGAAAATAACAAGTTTTTCTCCAAACAATGCTTCCTCACTCAAAACAGAATTTCCTTAAAAATAATCCCCATTTTCATTAAAGCATATTGCATTTTAGAGTCCTTTCAGCAACTTGAGCAATTCCATTACAAACCCTGATACAAGACTTGCTTGAAAAATGTTTTCCCCAGAATTCCCCATGATTTATTTTTACCATAGAAATTCTCCAAAATATCAATAGGCTAGATTCATACATAAAACAAAGACTATCCCTGACCCCTGGGTCTTACAATGTAAGCTCTGCACATGAGAACACTGCAGCAGTTCAGGTGATTGTCAGGAAGTCAAATCTTATAGGCAATTGCAGGTTATCTCTGCACCTAAGTTTAGAAAGTGATACCATCTCAGTAGCGAGTACTCAAAGGCACCAATAAGGAAAGGTGTGGTACAGCTATAGAGAATGGCACATTACAGCTGCAGAGAAAGTATGGGCTCCACTACTGCACAGCTATACAGTTGAACACAACTGACACTGACCTTAATGGCAAAGTTGCTCATCAAATTAGCTCCTTTTTGGTACAGTAAATAAATTCAGATATATTCCAAGGTTTTCTCACAAATAAATGACCTGCTCTCCAACCTGTATTAATTTTAAGTATTAACCATGAAAGATGATGATACTAGCTCCTGGCTACATCAGAGCAATCCTGTGAACTGAATGAAAACTTATAGACACAACAGAGGGCAGGATTTTCTCTTAATGTATCAATTTATGCAGAATTATCCAATCTTAGTGACATGTTAGGCATCCTTAAATAACTACTGACCAATCAAATAGAAAGTCAATCAATAAATTCAGAGTGATCACCTACTGTTTTATTCATAAGAATTCTTCCTACTCTCTCTTAGTAGCTGTTTTTTCCTTCCTTCTTCATTACCTTTTACATTTTTCATCATGTGCTATGTTATTTATCTCCTTTGCCTGGTAACCAGTCCCAATCTTTTCAAACTCTCTTCATGGGCAAGTTTTTTTCAAGCATAGGATCATTCTCATTTTCTTTCTTTGCACTGCAATTCTGCAAAATCTTTTCAGAATGCACAACAGCATTCCACAAGATAAGGAATCATTCATTTATAATGGCACTATAACATTTTTCGTATTCTTCTTTCCCCTATCCGTTACGCACCATAGTATCACATTTGCTTTGAGTGCACAGTTACACAGGTTAATGCTTCCCAAGAATCTTGCACTACAGGCGTGTTCACCAACTTGATTAGAATGGATATTCACTAGTAAGTAAGTATATGCAGACGATCTAAAACATTGATATCAACAGCTGGGATTCATCTTCCCTAATTTTAGCTGTCAAAAAGTTAGGGGTCTTCTCTATGCTATACTTACATTCCTTCTAATATTAATGAGAAAGGCGTATTCAGAGAGAGACCTATCTCATCCTGCAATAGGTGCAACAGGAGAAGATAAATTGCCCCTGAAGGTTTTGATCTCTCCACTCACTTTAGAGGAACACAGACTACTGGTTTAGACTAAAAATCTACTGTTTTCATGACAAAAGTTAAAAGAAACGAGTTCCTCTCTCTACTCCAAGACATTACTTCTGATTTGTTCCAGCACAGACAGATCAGAACTCATGCACCCGTCCTTTATGCAGCGCTATTAAACCTCACCAGGTTCTTAACATTTAATTTGATATTTATTTATTCATCTCTGTCTAATATTTGAAATTCAAAAGAGCCGGCTCCCATATTTCTGTCCAAGATTATCCAGACAAAATGATATGCATGAGACATTGCACACAGAGTCAATCTGACACATCCCATAACAGGCAGCTACATCACATGGCTTGTGAGACTAATACATCCAGGACATATCAGCACTCCTACATATGTACTGAGCAAACACTCTGCATAGCCCATCAACCGTATGCTGGACACGCTGGATTTAACACACCTTCAGCTCAGAAAGGTGTGTGCTGTGAATCTGAAGTGTCTGTGTGTTCCTCAAGTAGTACATGGACTCAATCCGTGCCCAGTTTCTGCAGCCACTTACGACAGGCTGCTGGACAGTCAGAAATCCTGCAAGTGTGGCGCAAAAAAGAGGGAAAGTGATGGACAACCCGTGAAAGGGAGAGTCTCCTGCCCAAAGCAGCAGCAATGTTCAGTGTGTATATTTAACATTTTTTAGAAGTGTGGCTATATGATTTTCACTTCAAACCCTCATTAAGCTATAATAAAACATTGCTAAGGATGTTCAGGGCACTTGAAGTATTACATATACATACATGCATGTGTTTGTATACACACGCACACACTTTTTTTTAACTTGAAGCAATTAGCAGCTATTAGCTTGAGCTGCTCACTGTTAATTTGAGGCAGAGGAATGCGCACACCAGGCAGATGTCCTCACTGCAAGCACAAGTTTCTAAACAGAGCAGCCTTGTTTTAACACAGGTGGGAGCTGTGGAATGAGAAATATCTGTAAGGCTTCATGCTAGCCATAAAGAATTGGATGTTCCGCAATACCCTCAGCCACAGACATAAAACACCAGATTAAAAGCATCTCTCTAAAATACTCCTTGGAGAGTAGAGCATTTACTGATTGGAAAGCCATTGCCTCTAGTCAAATCATGACTTAGTAAGTTGCAAAAGCTACATTCTCAGTGTATTCTAGCAGCAGGTCTCCCCATGATGCCAAAGGAAGCAGTAGCAGGCTGGGTTTCATGGGGAAATGAAGGGAGCTGAGGCTCCCATAGCAATCGGTCAACTCCAGAGCAGCAGACTCCTCTACTCACAGGAGGAGAAGTCTGCCAGTGTTACTCAAGTGCACGCAGTTTCCACATGGCAGTCCTCCCAGGTCATACGGACCCAGTCCTCTACCTAATCCCAGCACAGAATTAGCAGCCTTCCCACTTAAACTGCCTTTTCTAAGAACAATTTCACAATAAACAGAGCAGACGTTTCTTATAATTTGGATGTTCCCCCAAGAAAGTAGAATAGGAGCTTAATGTAACCCAGTCTTACTCAAAAAGGGAAGCATATGTTTCTTCTGTACCACCTGGATCCAAGCTCCATCTCATCTCATCTCATCTTATCTCATCTCATGTCATCTCATCTCATCTCATCTCATCTCATCTCATCTCATCTCATCTCATCTCATTCCCCTTCTTCAGCATTGGTGACAAGCAGTTAACATCACCATGTCTGTAATCTCTGTGTCTCCTGAGCTTTCTACGACCTGGAATCACTGCAGCCTGGCTCCCAGTTTTCACCCAAATGGCACATCTTCAGGAAGTGTTCTTCATACCATACTATTCAATCTCACACTTCCACAGGTATGAAATGGGGAGAGATGGCCATGTTCCAGCCAGCCCATGTATTCTCAGAAAATCTCAAAAAGAAGTAGTTTCTCATTCAATTTCTGTCACTTTCTCCTCATCTCCAAAATCATCATCAAGTAGCCGACAAATTTACAGCCATCTTCCACTTTGAAGTTGCCCTGCAGCATCTTTTTCCAATCTCTCTGCTATTTTACCTCCTACTGAAAATCTTTGTTCATTCCATTAGCATTACTTGACTGTCAAATCAGCATAAACCGTTGCATTTGTTAAAATGATCACTCACACCTTTCCTTTGTTCTTCTCTGTTCTCTCCAGTTCATCACTAGCTTCTTTGTATTTTCCAAGTAGCCACAACAATAGCAACTTAGAGCTTCTGTGAAACCCATGGACCCTTATGACTATTGATGAATGAACTTTCAAAATATATCAGATTCATCATGACACAAGTGATGAGCAGAGAGATCAACTGTTTTATCCCAGACCTCATCGCCAATCTATAGCAGGCAGATATAGACTCCCAGCTGTTACAACTTGTGGTCCCATGCACTTGTCCTAAGAATATGCCTCCTCTCTTGCACAGAACGAATACTTTGCGCAGGCAGAATTCATGTCACATTCGTATCAAGTCAACGTACCTGGATGAAGATATATTCATCCTGAACAACAAGGGAGCTGATGTCAATGGAGCGTGAAAATGGCCCACTCCTTTTGGTCTCTGAGCACTCCTGGATCCGACAGGTCAAATAGTGGGTGTCTGTAATGGGAGAATATATACACATGAGAAATGCCCAGGTAGGAGCCTGTTGTCTGGAAATGTCATTAGCAGTTCAAAAGAAGGTCTCCGAAGGGAAGTCTTAACCTCATCTCCAACTAGCTAGACATTATTGCATAGTCTACCTCCAGCCTTTAAAAGGGTAACTGCTTTCTGGAGTCAGGAATTCATCACACTTCCACACTCACCATTCCCTTCCCCATTGTGCAAACATCCCTCCAGAGATTGGAGTTCAAACCATAAATGGAGGGTACAAATAATAAATGCATCAGAAAACTGATGATGAGACCATATGGAGCAGAAGAAGATTTCAAAAGCCACCCAGGTATATTTTATCGATTCCACTACCCTGCTGGGAATTATATCCCCATCCTCCCTCTGAAATACCCTAGCCTTGATGACTGGTTTTAATTGTGGTAGTAACACACAAGGAGAAAAAAAAAGCCCAAACCAGCACTATTAAGTTTAACTTATTTTGCTGTGAAAATAACAAGCATCTCCAAAATTAAGTCTTTATAGCCAATACAAGCTAGGTATGAAAACATCATGGACATGAAATAGTATGACTAGCTGAAGAGTCCCAACAGTAGTTACATGCACTGCAAGAGGCGTCAAATGCTTCTGTCTAGAGAGAAGATGAGAAGACCATCACACTAATGGCATGTCTTGACATTGCTTGAGAGAAGGAACAGGACTGGGAGAACGTGAAGACATAAGGCAAAGGCACATACAGAAAGTTGCTCAGAATGGCAAGAAGAGACATGCTCACCACCAGCAAGTTGGCAGGGGTTATAGGTGATTAAGCATTATTTCACTCAGGCTAAGAAAGGACCTCATGAAACAGAACAATCAAGGCACTGTGTCTCTGGATGCATGTAATCTAAATATACCATCTCTGCCTTTCAACTGCTCTTCTGAAAACTGCAAATAAGGGAGAAAATGAGAATAAAACTAAGATGACAGCTGCAGTGATACAAGGGTCATAACTCTTACACTGCGGCACTTCTACAGGCTTCTTAGATTCATGCACTCGTTCTCTTTTCTACAAAGGGTGAGGACAGACCACCAAGGAAGAAAACAGTGAGTTTGTAAGGGCTTGGGTGAGCCTGGTGCAGTGATTTTAGTTCACAAGCGCACCTATTAACAAGGATCTTGTCAAACTGAGCCCAAAAGGATGAAAGGGAAGTTTAAAAGGACAGTAACTAGCCTAGCAAAGCTGCTTACAGGATTCTCCATCCCATAAAACCTGCTATTGTCATTAGTCTGTGTCTTTCCAGTGACAGCAAAATGTTGTTCAGGGGAAAGCATGACTGAAATCCTCTGACACACAGCTAACTGCCTTCCCAGATTCAAAGACAAGATTCACAAACTGGCAGTTTCCGCTTCCATAGCCTTGTCCCGCCAACAGACTCTTAAGAATGCATAAAGAATGCAAGTCAGAGGCACTGATAAGAATAATAATAATTTTTAAAAAGATATTGACTAAAAAAAGTCACAAACTACAACCAAGCTTTAATCTAATAAAGGTTCATGACCAGTCGCATAACTGAAGGTCCGTGTTCAAAGGCTGCAGGCCTGGGTCTGGGTTGAGGCACTGGGAATTCGAGGTTAATAAGGGCTACATGGCTGATTCAGAGCCGTTGCACAGGTCTGGCGCAGCAATGAAAATGTAGTCCCACTGATGATGCTAAAGCAGCAGAAACTGTTGCTGGTGCCAGCTCAGAGTATCTGGAGGTAATTAAAGTGTATGATGAAAAATATTTGACGTAGAGACAGTGCCAAATAACTGGAGTATTGGAGTTGTGCTTTCTCCCAGCATAAAATACCAACAGGAGCAGAGAGGTTGGACTCTCAGCTGGGATGAATTAAGGCTCTTCATCAACTGACACATACACGCTTGGTCCAGAGCTGCTATTTACCTCCTCATCGTGGAATCTAAGACATCTTTGTGGTGGATAAAAGCAACTTCTCAGAAAACAAGAGAGTCTTATATACTGCCATGCTACCCAAAGAGCTCAGCAGCCTTGACTTGTTCTTTGAGGTAGCACTAAAATTAGGCAGAACAAGGAGGAGAGGTCAGGAGCTGTATTTTTAGAAGCTCATTCCCTCCGGTATGTTCTCCCACACAGTCGCCTGGATATTCTTATCCCTCCAAAAAGGGGATAACTTGCTTGCTGCTAAGTGACAGAATGGGAAGAGGAATAAAAACCTGTCACAAATAAATGCAAATAAATCACAAGTGTTGACATGACAACTAGCTTCCTGCCTATTGGGAAATGTGTCATTTTGAGTGTGTTACACCAGCAATCAAATATACTCAAAGAATGGCACCCGATTAATATTCATGGGAAGTTGGTGGTGGAAAAGGGGGGTAGCTCACTACCTGTTTTCTACTTAGTCTCTTCTTTATTTATTTTCATATATTTTACAACAAAAGGCCTATAAAAGAAAACACAGATTCAAAAAATTTATTTTCAAACCTGGCTGCATTTGGACACAAAAATAATTTTAAGTCTTGCCTTGCTTCCTGCTGCCCCACAAAAAATGAAAAATAATTCCCTTTAAAATATATTAAAAAATCAGGTCAAAATATGACAGTACACAGTTCACATTTGTGTGTGACTGGAAGCAAGAAATAACCCCAAGTCCCTGCTCAAACTTCTTGAAGGGTATGATCCCTTCATGAGCTACAGTCCCATTTGCAGAGCACATCTTCCCCTATATAGAAAGTACAGGGCCCCTCAACAAAAATGTCAATGAAGAGAGAAGGAGGCATCCTAACTTCCAAGCTGTTAAAGAATCATAGAATCATAGAATAGTTTGGGTTGGAAGGGACCTCTAAAGGTCATCTAGTCCAACCCCCCTGCCGTGGGCAGGGACATCTTCAACTAGATCAGGTTGCTCAGAGCCCCGGCCAACCTGACCTGGAATGTTTCCAGGGATGGGGCATCCACCACCTCTCTGGGCAACCCTTTCCAGTGCTGCACCACCCTCAGCGTAAAAAATTTCTTCCTTATATCTAGCCTAAATCTACCCCCCTTTAGTTTAAAGCCATTCCCCCTTGTCCTGTCGCAACAGGCCCTGCTAAACAGTTTGCCGCCGTCTTTTTTATAAGCCCCCTTTAAGTATTGAAAGGCTGCAAGAAGGTCTCCCTGAAGCCTTCTCTTCTCTAGGCTGAACAACCCCAACTCTCTCAGCCTTTCTTCACAGCAGAGGTGTTCCAGCCTCCTGATGATTTTTGTGGCCCTCTTCTGGACCCGCTCCAACAGGTCCATGTCTTTCTTATGCTGAGGGCTCCAGAGCTGGACGCAGTACTCCAGGTGGGGTCTCACCAGAGCAGAGGAGAGGGGCAGAATCACCTCCCTCGACCTGCTGGCCACACTTCTTTGGATGCAGCCCAGGATATGGTTGGCCTTCTGGGCTGCGAGCGCACCTTGCTGGCTCATGTCCAGCTTTTCCTCCACCAGTACCCCCAAGTCCTTCTCGGCAGGGCTGCTCTCAGTCCCTTCATCCCCCAGCCTGCATTGATACTGGGGGTTGCCCTGACCCAGGTGCAGGACCTTGCACTTGGCCTTGTTAAACCTCATTATCTCCCTCTTCTCTGAAGGGAGTTAATTTTTCAGCCCTATTTTGCACAGCCACAAAGAAAAAGGATGGCTGCCCAGAGGGGCAGGTAGCATGTGTCCAACCTATGCCTTTATAGTCTTGCTTACCTTTCACTGGGAGATGCATACTTTAAGGGATGTTGGCTTCTATCTAGGGATTATTTCCAATTTATATATCATCCCATGCAACATCAGAATTAGGGGGTTTGGGGTTGGGGTGGGTTTTACTATGTTCCACTGCAAAGGGAGTTGAGAAGAGCGCCCTATTTCCCTGACAGCCTCAAAAACATCTCATGTTTATAACCCAACATCTAGCTACTTTCTCAGCCCATCTGTGAATGAGGCAATACAGACATCAAGCAGCCTGGAGGGTTTGCTGCAGCTCAAATGCCAGCATCCATACCTCTGTACAAACCCTTCCCATCAATTTATCTCACTTCGGATTAGGGAATGGCTTTCTCAGATGTGCAGCCATTTTCCGGTTGAGGAGCTTGAAACACCTCCCCATTGCTAACTCACATAGTCTCCCATCTTGAGAATTTGGAGTGTATTTTTACCCTTTTTAGAAGTGATAAAACTGAAGCAATTTCTTGAAATTTGCAGTGATAAGCTGGTGAAATAAGCCAAACTACTAAGTCTCTTCTTTGCCCTCCAGTCATGACAGCTTTGGCAGAAAGCAGGAGCACAAGAGGCTCTCTCTGGTGCATAACACCCAAAGATGTGTGTCCCTGAAGGGAGACGCTGAAATAGTCAAACCTGTCACTGTGCTGAAGGCTGCAAAGGGCAGACCTACGTGCAGGTCACTGTGACCTACAGAGACACAGGACAGCAGGGCCTGCTCCTCCTTGGCAGCATTAACAAGCCAGCAAAAAGCAGGCATGGCTGGCCAGCATGACTAATGGGGAGAAGGGCAGCTGATGGAAACAAGTTGCATTGGCAGATTGGCTCAGCTTAAGTCAGGTCCTGGTGCCAGGCAAGACTTAAAATCAGAAACTGCCAGTGAAGGTTACCATGGGAGTGGGAAAAAACTAGCTGGCCTCGACAATTTTTCCCCCAAAGGAAAAGAGGATCTAGAAATGTAGACAGGACTGTAAATTATTCCCCAGGAATTAGTGACCGTGTTTTATCTTTCTGTTTAGGTTTTTTCCCTTCTTTTCCCTTTAATTAAAACACTGTTTATTGCATCATATCTGTGAGTGGGGAGAAGATTATCTCACTGAACATCAGAAAGTTTAATATATCTTTCCCAGGAGTGCTGGTGGGTACCTGTGTCAGTGTATTTGTAATAGTTCCCTTGTATCCAACCCTGTCCTTGCTGCTGCCTATTACACCCAGGCAGAAGGTACAGTGCCCAAGGCTCCTATATGTTTTTATAATTTAAAAATGCAAGCCTAGATTATTCTTCTGCTACAATAGCTCTGCCAAGATGTCAAAAAAATGTGAAGAACTTCATCTGCTACAAAAGACAGGAACAGCTTGAGATCAGGTAGGCACTAGAATTAACAGAATCTTGCAAATATTTAAGGAGACTAGACACTGGGGCAGATGTTTTTTCAGAGACCCTACCATTCCTAATGACCAGACAGACAAAACCATGGGGCAAAGCGTCTTGGAGGACAGACACCAGAGCATTGAACAGGACTTCCACCTCTCAGCTCCGTGATCTTATTGATAGCCCTGACTCATTTATGGATGAATGAGGCTCTAGCATGCCCCACCACCTGTTCCCCAGCCACAGAGCATATTTTAGGCTCCAGTGTCTGAATCGGTATTAGATAGGTTCTTGAGTCCCATTACTGCTAAAAGAGAAAAAAAAAGAAAAAAAATCAAGTTCCAAGAGTCTAATCCTAAATACCACTGCCCTCCCCCCCCCCCCCTTTTTTTTTTTAAATAAAAAGCACAAAGGAAAACAGAAAAAGAGCAAAGACAAATATCCCCTCTAGTAGAGTCATGTACTTTTCAAGTGGCCAGGGACATTGAAGGCAGGGATTCTTGTCCGTGAATTGAACTGAGCAATGGGAATACTCAAATCTATGTCTGTTAATGCATCAAATAAGTGACTGAGCCACTAGACTGACCTAAGAGGCATTTAAAAAGCCTCCCCTTCCTTCTCCCCACTACCGAGGAAAACTTTCATCAGAAACTTTCTGATCAAGAGGAAATAACTGCAGGGACCCATTTTCCAGCAGGTATAAGTGCCTCAGCCATTTCACTGAGAGCATGAAGGCCCATTTTGGTTACAGAGCCAGCTACGAGAAAAGTTCAACCTCCCATTCCTAAGTATACAGAGCTGTACCATTTCACACCAGGTGAGGCTATAGCTTCGAGGCAGTCGATGTTTTGTAACACAAACTAATATCGTTTTAAGCCTTAAAAACTCTAATTGGTGCAACATGGTTCTTTTGTGCTGTGCTTGACTGGGAGAGGAGTCATTTTGGTGCTGTCCCTCAGCGGGACATGCCAGCGGGGCCAGCACAGCCCACCAGGTCTTGCCTGTGCCTGCTGTCTGCTGGGACGATGGCTTGCAATGGGCCTGTTTTGCTGATGCTACTGGTTTAAGTCTGACTTTCAGTGAAACCCTCAATACCATCAACTGCCAATTTCAAAATGCTGAATTTATACATTAAAACAAGAACAAACAGCAAACCCGCGAGCAAACAAGACATGAAGGAAAAGAGTTGTCTGCGAACTGGGAAGACATCTTTCAAACGAAGCATCTATAACCTTGACACATCCAATATTCAAATAGCTGGGTGAGCAAGTTTAAACTTAGTTTGAAAACAGACTCCATCAGCAGTTTGTTTGCTTACTTGCTTGCTTTTTTTACTTGCTTTCAGCCACTTCTCCCAGCATCCCTGCAACAGCACACACAGCAGCAAAGGCACTGAAGAAGCCTCCCTACTTTGCCCACCCACCTGCCGGCCTGTTTTGCTTTTTCCACATATTCAACAAACAGCTGTCACCCCTGAGCTTTTATTGCCTGGTTATTTATTCAGCTGCCATCACTAAATAGCAGTGGGAGGCCAATGAGTGATTTTAGAAGATCCACAGCCTCAGAGAAGCCACTTGGATAGACAGGAGCTTGTTCACACAGCATCTGACCTACGCAGCACTTGAATAAAACAGAGAAAAGTTTGCAACCAACAAAAATGAGGCCTTTTCCTCCCAGAAATCCTCTACAACCTCAGTCCTATACTGCTTTCTACACTGTCCCTGTAATGTAAAAGGGACACACGTCCCACGCTGTGTTGCATTGAGCTGGAGTAAAGCTGGCTCCACCCCAGGAGCAGATGCATTACCGTGCTGTAGTTCCTGTGTGAAATACCTAAAACAGTTTGGAGAGAGTGGTGGAAAAAGTCAACTTACTTCTAATACTGTCTTCTTTGCTGGAGGTTAATTACATAGGAATCCATTCTACTGCAACTGCGGCTAGATTCATTTCAGTGAGGGATTAAGAATTACATTTTTTTCCTTTCTTACTTCAGGTCCAGGCACCTTTTCAAGGCCTGTAATGTTTTGGTATGGAGCACCTGTTCATACATTATAAGCAAAACTGAAAAATCCTTTCAATATGAGACAAAGGGTACCTGGGGCATAGGGACATTCTGGCCAGAGGAGAAGTCTGAGTGTAGGCAATTTCTCAAATTCCCAGGTACAACCTAGCTGTTCTGAACACCTCTGGAAATGAACGGAGGCTGTACTGCACAGTGCTGGCAGCCCAGCTCTTTATGATTCATGTAAAATACATGATACTGAAATAGCTAAATAGGGAACAGAATAGACAGCTCCTTAGCCCAACAAATTGTGCTTCTGCCCAGCCTCTCCACAAACACAAGCCCTGCAGCCTCTGAATTTCCCCCCAGGGGCTAAGGATAAGAGTATGCCTTACATCAAACCCCATGACCAACACCTTTCCTATCAATTAAAATGTAAATGGGGAGACAAAATGAGCAAAATGAATTTCCATTCCCACTCCATTCTTGACTCAAAGCCCACTTTTTCAGCGTTGGCTGCAGGTACTCACGTCCGTCAGCTGTCCGGGCTTCCATGTGCACAAGGTCAGGTTCTTTATCCAAACCAGTCACCGACCTGGGCGGGGGGGAGAGAGAGAGAGAGAGAGAAGGCAGCCAGTTGCATAAAAAGCTGCAATCAGACAGAGAGAGGGTGAGGGAAAGCAAAACCAGTTCAAGACTACCTTGTGACACCTGGCATGTAGGTTCCTACCTCCTACCAACTTGTCTCCTTTGTGTTTCTACACAGCCCACTCCCAGGGGCCATATACTAACCTTTAAGACAGACATCTTCCCAGGTGCTGGTGAGTGAACCTGCTATCCCTTGTCTACAAGGTGAAGACTACAATGATCATTCTTGTGGTGGCAAAGCGAGCTGGTTCCAAGATCCAGCAAAACCAGAGCTCTGTTTTAATGCTGAAGGAAAGAGGATGGCACAGCAGCCTCATTCTTACAGACAGCAAATTAAAAAGGGGGTTTACTTGGCTGAATAGTGACACGAGAGACTGAGTTTCCTGATCTGCCCCTGGTTTGCTGGGCATTCTTGCTATTGTTTACCTCAGTTTCCCCATCTTCAAAAGAAAAACAATGATGCACATATGCATGGTGAAGTTCTGATAAAAAAAATGTGAGAAAGTATTCATTATTCACCCCATGGTCCCATGCCATGGTCCTTGATAATCACGAAACAAGGCACGATGAGTTTCTTTAACCTCACTGGTTGAAACCCAAGCACCTCAAGTCAGATCTTCCTGTGCATTGTTATTTTACTCCCTAAAAATGTTTTGCAAGGTACATTACAAAGACAGTTTTCCTCCTGGTGGAAGGAAAGTCAAGCCCAGAACAGAGATGTTATTAGTGTCCTGGTTGATAAGAATCACCGGGAGATGAACATTTAGTCCTAGCAATGGTTGGCAGGGGAAAAAAAAAAAATCCATAGATGTCCACGTGATTTATGGAGCTGCTTCTCCTGAGTTAACCAAAGGGTTAGATTAAAAAGGGACAATGTCAAAAATCAGTTTCTAATTTGGTGGAAGCTGAATTTGATACAGTAGATTGTAAATAATAGATTCCCTCCGAGCCAGCCAACGTTCACAATTCCCTAATGTTCTGAAACACTTTTATCACAATCTTTTGCTGCTTTCATCCTTGGGGCATCAACAGCTAAAACATTTAAAAAAAAAAAAAAGGAAGAAGAAGAAAAGAACAAACAAAATACAGATGCTCTGATACATTTTTGTGGGTCTCACAAAAAACATAGCAATTGAAGCAATGACAAACATACAAATGTGCCGGAGTTCAGCTAAGATCAGCCAGTGCTGCAAATGCCAAAACAACTACATTATGACCCACTGTGTAGGTAACTGAAACTGGCACTGCTTGTTAACTAGAGCACGGCATCAATAGCAAATCCATTCACAACACACTGTGAATTGTGGCCAAAAAACCACAACACAACAAAACAAAGCCGCACAGGCAGAGCTTTCATCATTCTACTCCCAGTGAAAAACAGTCTGCTCCTTAATCGCTACCATCAGTTTCAGGGTGATCCCACAAGGAAGAAAGCACTGTTTGTTATCGGTAAGGATGCCAGAATGGGCCTGAGTCCCTGTGACCGAGTAATTATCAGGGTCAAATCTTCCAAATATCTGGACACAGTTAACAGTGACAGTAGGACAAACAGAAATTCTTTAAACTGTCAGTGAAAAACATTATGGTGTGCAGCAACATTATTTCCCAATATATAGAAAGGGCATACATCTTTCTGGTCCACAGCAGAAGTTTTCTGCCTTTTTCCCATAAGTAGCCCTAAATGCTGTAATTTCAGCTGTTTGGCAATCATGACCCTCCCCTATGACATGCCAATAGGGACAGAGGTATGTGCTTACCAACGTAGCTATCCAACACAGCGGTAATTTCAGCACTTTTAGGTACAGATCGGGAACACATTAGGGACCTGCCCCACAGCCCTTCCCCACAGGCTTCCTACTCAAATCCAACCTTCACCCTGGAGGATGCACTCTCCAGGCTTCCTTCTGGAAGCCAGACACCAGCCTTTTACCCAGAGCTGTTTACTGTGTCTTGACACCACAATGCCAGGCTGCCTCACCTGCTCCCCACAACAACCCCTGGGTCCCTCCCCACCAGATGGAGGGGGCACTGTGCCCCCCCTGCAGCAATGGGGCAAACGTACTCCTGGCCCAGGTAATAAAAAACATCGGTATAAGGCCTGCCACAACAATATCTATTTTAAAAGGGACTGTAATTTGAAGAACATAAGCATTTCCAAACAAAATCCAAAATACTCATTACCATTATGTGTTTGCATACACAAGCTCTGTGGATCGACTCCACTTATAATGCCTATTACATGAGCACCAGGGGACGACAGGAGTCTCCTGAAACATGTCATTCTAGCTTGAATTTCCTTCCCAGTGCCATCTACTTGTTTCCTTAATTAGTTTTGATAAGCCTGGTGGTTCTTTTCAGAACAATGATGAAAAAAGGACCAGCATACAGACCCCCTTAGTACTCCTCTGCTCGCCAAATACCATACTTCAAGTGGAAAAGCTCACAAAGCAATCTCCTGCAACCCAAAAGCAAGACAAGCTCCTGTTATCTGCAGGCAGATAACAAGCCTGTAAAGTAATGCATCAGTCATCCTTCCTTCTCCCAAACCAAGTCGCTCTGTTATATCAAAGACTCTGATTGCAAAACAAATCCCCAATCAATGATGTTTCTTCATGCCTCACCTCACGTCTGTTCCCACTAGCAAAGAACACAGCTTTGCTTTGCAGTGCTCTGACTCCTGAATACAGGCATTTTCAGTAAATGGTCTCTCATCATTTGTCTGGAGAAGCTTTACATGAGGAATGCAAAAAAGTTAGGCAGTGGAAAGAGCAAGATGTGAATGCAGGTCCTGGAGCATAGCTGCAAAAATGCACACACAGACTGTAAAGCTATTCCTTTACCCCATGCAGCAATTTCTCTGGTCTTGAGAACTCACTACAACAACCTCCCAGGTCTGGCAATACAAAAGCAGCAACAAAACAAGAAAAGACACCTTCACAGCCTTATATTTTCTCATACATTATCTATCTGAAGAACGTTTGGAGGATGCACTGCTCAAAACTATTTGAGTAACTAAAGTATGATGAGGAGAGATGTCAGCATCCCTTGACTTACCATTTCCCTTGTGTGTTCTCTACAACCAAGTGGAGCCCACAGAGTGGGGTGGCTGGGAAGGGGTTTAATGGTGCTCTGGCTGACAAACAGCTCTATTTCAGAGGCTTACAAAGACAAGAGTATGTAACAACACTCAGAAGCCTAAGCTCGGCTTGAAAACAGTTTTCCTGCCACATGGTCACACCTCAGGCTCCATGCACAGCTCAGCTCTGTGTTTTGTATGTGCACAAACTCCAGACAGCAAAAACTAAACCAAGGTCCACAAAATGCACCCATGTGTGCTGCTGCCTTGGATGGCTGTGGGGAGGAAAAAAGGGCACTCTTGCTGTGAGAAACCATGCTAAATCAACATCCTTCACCATCCTTATTCATTTATCACCACTCAGATGAGAAAATGCTGAGAGGATGCAGGCAGAAGTGACAGGAAGGGTCATTTTTTTTCTGCTGACATGTTCCCTGACTGCTGCAAAGGCAGTTTTTGAAATGTGGAGCCTGCAGGCAGTATTGCAGCTGATGCAGGATCATTGGCCAATTAAGAATTCTCTGAATCCCATTAGGAAGGAAGCAATGGTACTTTTCTCTATCTTCTGCTGCTGCTTTTCTTTTTTGTTCTCATGGTAGCTCTTGGTTTTCACAAGATCTTTCCTCCCTTCTTTTCAGAAGAGGATTGTGTGTTCCTGAAAGCTGAAGAATGGATAGGACCCTGGCAAGACCCTTATCTCTATCCGAAAGG